GGTCAGACCTACACTCCTGGACCAAGAACCACTGGGAGTGGCGCTGGGCCCCTGAGCCTCACGTCTGAGCTCTAATATCAGGCAAATGTGAGTGTCAATCCCACGCAACATCCACTCACCTAATTCTGACTCCTCATTATAGAACAGGGACTGCTACACCCAGCGTGGGGGAACCCTTTTCCTTTCTTTCCTATCATGAATCCTGATCTTTCAATAGGAATTGGATGACTTCTCTTTAAAGTCACACAGATCTGGGGCTGGAGCAATAGCACAGCAGGTAGGGCATTTGCCTTGCACGCGGCCCATCTGGGTTCGATTCCCAGCATCCCATATGGTCCCCCAAGCAACCGCCAGGAGTAATTCCTGAGTGCAGAACCAGGAGTAACTCCTGAGCATCACTGGTTGTGACCCAAAAACAAAAACAACAACAAAAAAATACAGACAGATCTCCTCTTGAATTTTCATTCCAAGGGACAGATTCCTTGGGATGCCCAAATTGCTTTTCTTCTTATCGACTTAACCTACCTAGTCTATGCTTATGTTTATACCCAGAATTGTCCTCTGAGCATCAGTTTACTGAGATCTGTACACTCAATCTGCCTACCCAGCGTCTTTCACTGGGTGCCCCAAACGTGTCACGCTTTCGCCCTACCTACTGGGAGAAAACATTTGCACACAACACAGCAAGATCTATAAAGCACTCACACAGCTCAGCAACCAAAAATCCAACAACCCCATTCACAAATAGGGCGTGGAGAGGAACAGACACTTCCCCAAAAGTGCTCATCATGGCTCATGATTCAGGAAATGCAGATCAAAACAAGACTGAGATATCATCTCACACCAATGAGAATGGCAGATATTTAAAACAAAACAAAACAGCCAATGTTGGTGGGGCTGTGGTGAGAAAGAACTCTCTTCCCATGCTTTGGAGAATGCCATCTGGTTTAGCCCTTATGGAAAGCAATATGGAGATCTATCCAGAAAATAGGAATAGAACCATACCATACAACCCAGTAACACCACATCTTGGCCTCTATCCCCAAAGCACAAAAACATTAATTCAAAAGGATATATGCACACATTGATGGTCATTGTTGCACACTTAGTACAATAGCCAAGATATAGCAACGACCCAAAGGCCCAATTATAGAAGAGTCGGTCAAGTAGTTGTAATATATATACAGAGTAGAATACTATGCAGCTCCAAGAAAGGATAGAATCATGAAATGTGCCTTGACATGGATGGAACTAGAGGGTATCACGGGAGAAAAGTCAGTCAAAAAATAGAAAAAGGGATAGATACCGAATGATCTCACTCATATGCGGGACCTAAAGAAGTAAAGCAAGGTAGTGACAAAGGACCAAAGGCAACAAAATTAAGTTTGGGGAGTTGGAAAGGGAGGGGTGATGAGGTCCTCAGGCTGAGAGGTGGGGACACCGGTAATGGTTATGGTGCTGGAATTAGATTCATGGAAGACCGCCAATAACAGTATTATAAATCATAGAACCTTCATCAATAAACTCAATTAAAAAAATAAAATATATATACAAAATTTTTTTTTCAAAAAAAGCATCTTAATATTTTTTCTTTCTTTTCTTTGTGTGTATTTTGTTTTATAAAGCCAAGAATTGAACCTGGGGCCTCACACATGATAGGCAAGTGATCTACTGCTAAGTCACTCCCCGCCCAAGTGTCTCGACCAAGGATGCTGCTGACTCCAATATCATCTCCTCCATCGACTCAGAGGGTCCCAGAGTCCCCTATCCGTCTGGGGCTTTCCCAAGACAAAGGCCTGGCTCAACCGTAAGGTCACTCTAGATACTTCACTCACTCTGTCTTGTCAGCTGCTATTGGTATTACTTCCAAATACATCCAGACTACAAAGATTTACTTCCTGCTCTGCCATCCCTCTGGTCTGCAATGGGTAATTTTATTTGTCAAATTGGCTGCATTATGGGACTCACATATTTGGTGAAATTCAGGATGTTACTGTAAAGTTTTGTTTTGTGTTGTTTTGTTTTGGCAGTGTTGGGGATGGAGTCTCCATCAAGGTATTTTCTGAATGAAGATAACATTTAAATAGTGGACTTGCCTGAAGCAGATCTCCTACATCATGTGTGTGGGCTATTCTTAGTGGACAGGGAGGCCTGACTGGAACCAAGAGAGACAACCCCAAGGAAAAGTAGGTTTTGGACTCGCACCACGACTGTCCCGGGCCTCCGGCCTACCAGACTCCCCACCTGAAGGTTCTTTCTTTTTTGTGTGTGTGCTACATCCAGTGATGGGCGGGGATCACTCCTGGTGAGATTCAGGGGACCATAGGAAGTGCTGGGAATTAAACCCGGTTTGGCCAGGTGCAAGGTAAATGCCTTATTGCTGTAATATCTCTCTGCTGCTTCCCCACGATCCAATTTTGAATTTACCAAGTTCGACAATGGTGTGAGTGAATTCCTTCAGACGAATCTTGAGCTGCATATACACATCTCGCGGGTTGTCTTTCTGTGGAGAATCGTGACTGCACCATTCACAGCGATTCTGTTAAGTCCAGTTCTGGGCTAGTCCGCACCGTGTGTGGAGAACCTCAAGGGCGTTCCCACTTCTGCCAAGCAGAACCCCCGAGTCCTCAGTAGCCTAAAGGCCTCCTGCGATTTCCGAACCCTCTCTCCGGCCTTACTTTATCTTCTATTATCCTCCTCTCTTATTCACCCTTCACACCCAAACAGCCTCCTCCCCTAGCCCCTCTCCCCTTCCTTCCTCCCTCCCTCCCTCCTCTGGCCTGGGAGAAGTTTGGATCCCTATATGCAAGGTGAATACTCCAGCTCTGAGCCTCCCCCTGGCCCTGGGCTACTCTTTCCTCGCATACCCGTATAGCTACGGGTTGTTGTAAAGAAAGCTTGTTGCCTTCTTTAGATCATAACTCAACAATCACCCCAGTGAAGCTCCAAGGGCCTTGTGTGTACGAGGCCCTGAGTTTGCTCCCTGGCCTCTCCAGGACTGTCCTGAGGTTGTGTCACTGGCCCCTGAGCAACCCCTGGGTGCTCCCCTCCCCGGACCCCAATCACCTCAGCGAGATCCTCTTTGCATACTATCTGGAGTTTCTACCTCCTCGTTCTTTTTGTTTGTTTCTGGGTCACAACAGGGCTCACTTCTGGCTCCGCTCAGGGATCCCTCCGGGAAGTGCTTCGAGGACCATTACAGGATGCTGGGAACTGAAGCTGGGCCAGCGGCATGCAAGGGCGGTGTGGTACTATGGCTCTGCAGCTATCTTCTCATTTCTGTTTTTTTCTAATGCCCCCACCCCCCGGTAGTAATTATTCTAATCGACATTATGTTGGACTTCTTTAGTGGCTAGTGTTACTTGGTTTGGTATGCGCTCGGTGGAAGCTGGCTGTTTCAGCCACTCTCTTCACTCCTATAAGGCACTTTATAGGTTCTGGACCATGCCTTCCAATGGTAAGCGTTTAACATACATTTGAGTGAAAATGGAAAGAAAATTCTCAACAGCCTTCTCTAGCACTACTTTGTATTTGATTCTCGGTTACACAGTTCCTGTCTTCCTCTTTTCTTCTTTGTTGTTGATTTTTTGGGTCACACACAGTGGTGCTCGGAGACCCCTCCCGGTGCTCAAAGGAGCACCTGTGAAGTGAGGATTGTACCTGGCTTTACCTGCTGTACTATCCATCACCACCTCCTACTTTTGTGGTACCTTTCCCATCTCTGATTCCAGGTTGGTGCCTTACAGTTTGACCAGGCTCAAGAAGTCATCACTTCCTTTTTCTGCAGCCTGAGGTCTGGGCTGTTGGTCACAGTTCTCTCATGAGACAACTCTGACAAGTTTTCATTTCCCTTCTCAAAGACAAGTTGATTTTTCTATTCTCTTCGAGCAAAAACTCTCTAAATCTAAAGATGACAAGTGAAGAATGATACCAACTTAAGCTCCAAAGTTTTGTTTCCTAGTATTTGAGTATCAATCTTACTTTATATAAACACCACAGACACACTGAATTCTAAGTCTTATAAGTTGTTTGTGCTTGCTAACTGTTCTTCCACGTCAAGTGTGCATTTATTTGGTAATAAGTTATGAAAGAAATCAGCCAACTCATTAATATGGCTGGTGGAACAAACCAGTCCAATATGAAGTACTACTGAATAGGATTTTAAGAAATAAGGCAATAATGTACATGTTATTAAGAATCAGGGGTCTATCTTTAATTTTTAATTTTTTTCCTTTTTGGCTCATACCCAGTGATGCTCAGGGGGTTACTCCTAGCTCTGCACTCAGGAATTACTCCTGGCGGTGCTTGGGAGACCATATGGGATGTTGGGGATCAAACTTGGGTTGGCTGCATGCAAGGCAAATGCCCTAGCTGCTGTACTAATGCTCTGGCCCCTATATTTTTTTAAAGAGTAGAATACAACCAATTTAGAATATATTACCAAATATTAGCAAGTGAAGATGAAAAGAAAAAGACAGGGATCAGATGACACAGGCCAGTGGGTAAGGCCCTTGCCCTATCTGATCGAGATTTGATCCCTGGCACTGAATATGGTCCTCTGAACACTGCCAGGAGTAGTTCTTGATCAGGGAGCCAGGAGTGAGCCCTGAGCAGACAGGTGTGACCCAATGCTCCTCACCTCCACCAAAAAGAAAACACAGAGGATGGAAAGAAAAAAAATTGAAGAACAGACAAAACAAGCATAAATTTGGTCCACTTTTTAACCAAGCTGCATTTCGCTCACAAAAGCATTAGTTTGAATTGCAATAATGCATTCAATAATTACTATGCTTATTTATCTTGCTATGATTTCCTCACGAATATAATTATCGGCTATGAATCCGACACGAGAGCTATTATGATAATGAGAACATCAGGTGCCTACCTCAACTCCGAGGAGTGTGATATGCAAACACTGTCTAAACACTTCTTAATGCAGCATGAGAAACAGGGTAGAATATGACTTAAGTTTAGGGATGGTATAAAGGACGTGTACTTACATTAAAAAGTTGTTTTTAAGCATATGTTCTAATCTGTCCTTGGTAAGAAGAGAGAAAAAAAAAGTCACCGAATGTAATTGTATTTACTTTACATCATTAGTGTATTCATATGGCACTAGGCCTTATCCATAAAACAAATTACCTTTTGGCCAGGAGCTATGAACCTGTGGCAGAGCTCGACATCCTCCGGGCAGTTGGAGAGAACTGTCATTGTCGTGGTCTTGAAAAGTCCCTCCATGACCTAAGAGAAACCACAGAATTGCCTGACGAGCAGCTCTTTCCAGGGAAAACCTGGGCAGGGTCCCACCCAGGCACCCTCCAGGACCCCAGCAGCTAGGAACCCCCTGCAGCTCTTAGTCCTGGAGTGCAGGTTCCCAGGCTGATGAGCGGTGGCATCCCCACTCTGCCTCAGAGAGGGCATCCGTGTCTTGTGTTGGCAGCTTCAATCCTACAGTGAAATGGAATGTCGGGGCCAGAGAGAGAAGGCAGAGGGTAAGCGTGCATGTCTTGGTGTGTGAGGCCCTGGGTGGGATCCCCCTCACTGCGAGCGAGCACTGGAGGGTGGGGCTCAGCTCTACCCAGCTTGTGCAGTGCCTTATCCCAGGAACTGTCTGCACCTGAAACCATCAGAGCCACACTACCTGGCATCACTGGGCCTGGCTCCAGACCCTTAGGTCAGGGGAGGCCCCCGTTAGAGAACCTTTTAAAGGAACAACACACGGACAGTTCAGAGTGACTGGTGCCAGTGTACCGTGTCAATACCATGTCAACACCGTGTCAACTTGGACAGTCAAGAAAATAATAGTTCCTCATTTATATCACTATGAGATTAAAATTAACCACCTACAATAAGAGAAAGCTGAATTTGTAGCTCAAAGCACAAGGCAAACATCAACTGCTGTGGAATCACCAAAAAGTACCCATTAACTCACAGGCAAATGAAAATGAGATTCCCCCCTGCACCAACCAAACCCCCCCCCCCCCCTTTTGGTTGTATTTTTTGGACCATGCCCCAGGGTGCTCATGTTCTGGTGCTGTGCTTGGGGGACCGTACGTGGAGCTGTAGATTGAACCTGGGTCTGAGGTGCAAGGCAAATGCCCTACCTGCTATTCTACTATTGAAGTCCTGAAAGTGAACTTTAAAATCAGAGAAGCAAAAATAAAGTACTAAATACCTACACTCTTGCTTTGCCAAAGTACAAAGAATAACACAACTCATTATAAAATACAAGTTGTAGTCTGTAAGAATTCTTGCTACCATGGGAATCTATGGAAGTCTCATGGGAAAAACTTAAGAAGACAAAAAAAGACTAGACTGGAATGGAAAATACTTCAAAAACATTTTAATCACAATTTGAATTTTTGGTTTCAAGTTAATGAGCACATAATAAACCCTCCAAAAACTCTAGTCACACACTTTCATTTGCTCATATCCCCTCAAAATCACTGACAGACCCTAGCAAAACCTGAATCCGAGGAGTCAACTAGTATGTATTGAAACAATGTGGCACCATCATATGGAGTGAAATACTTGTCAAGTGACAGCCACATAGATTTAGCCATATATTTTTATGTCTATAGTTTGTACAGGCCCAGTAACGTCTCCATTTTGAGACTTGTTGTTACTGTGTTTGGCATATCAAATACGTCCTGGGAAGCTTGCCAGGCATTGCCATGCGGGCAAGATACTCTCGGTAGCTTGCTGGGCTCTCCGAGAGGGGCAGAGGAATCGAACCCAGCTCAGCCGGGCTGGCTGCGCGCAAGGCAAATGCCCTGCTGCTGTGCTACTGGGCCGGCTCGAGCAAATCGATGAACAACGGGAGGACAGGGACAGTGACAGTTTGTACAGGAAGAAGGAATAACTTGTAAAAGGGGAAAGATTGTTTACCTGAAGGGCATATCCTCTTAAACCTGGCAGTGAGACAAAGAAATCACTAAGCCACCATGGGGTTTATGAAGGGCCCAATTCTTGGATCTTTACAGTTAAGTCCATGCAGCTTGGGAGGAAGAGGGGCAGGGAGAAGGGCTGGGCCTTGTGGGGGGCACAATACACCCATTGTCTGACAGAGACTTTGACCCCAGGGTGGTTGATCCGCGCCTCTCCCGAGCGTTGAGTTTCCAGGTAAAGATCACTGGCGTTTAAAGGTGTGACTTTTAGACTATGGTCTACAATATACTCACAGGAAACAGAATTTCGGCTGGAGTGCCAGTATATGGCACAGATGCTTACAACCTATGACTAAATCACAGAAAGAGTGATTAAATTGTTTTTCTAATTTTAATTTTTTAATTAAAGAACGGTGATTTACAAAGTTATTGATCACTGAGTTTTAGGCATGTAACATTTCAATAACAATCCCACCACCAGTGTCAACATCCCTTCCCAGATTCTCCCCCCCTCCCCCGCTCCAATCCCACCCCATCCCGCCTGTCACCTTGATAGGCACAATACAAAGTCCCAGTGGATGTAGCTTAGAAGACCTCTCTCATGTTCTCAGTGTTGCTGAGTTTGTAGAAATGGCGAATTTTTTTTAAAATAAAAATTTATTGGATGACCGTGAGATACAGTTACAAACTTGCATGAGTGTGTTTCATTCGAACAATGCTCAAGCACCCATCTTTCCACCAGTGCACATTTTCCACTACCATTGTTCTGAGTGTCCCACCCACCACCCCACCCTACCCCGCTCCCTGCCTCTGTGGCAGGTACAGTCTTTCTTACTCTCTAATTTTGGGCATTGTGATTTGAGATACAGATACTAAGAGGTCATTGTGTTTGGTCCTTGGACTAATTTCAGCACACATCTCCCAACCTGGGCGATCCCTCCAATCATCATTTACTTAGTGGTGCCCTAGTGGTGCCCTCTCCATCCTAACTGCCTTTTCCCCCCGGCTTCCAAACCATGGTGTGATCGTCCTTTGGTGTTAGTCTTATATCTTATGTCACTGTCACTGTCCTCCCGTTGTTCATCGATTTGCTCGAGCGGGCCCAGTAACGTCTCCATTGGAGACTTTGTTGTTACTGTGTCTGGCATATCGAATACGTCAAGGGGAGCTTGCCGGGCTCTGCCGTGCGGGCGAGATACTCTCGGTAGTTTGCCGGGCTCTCCGAGAGGGGCGGAGGAATCGAACTCGGGTTGGCCATGTTGGCTGCGTGCAAGGCAAACGCCCTACCCCTGTGCTATTGCTCCAGCCGAGTGGTCTAAGGCGCCAGTCTTATATATGCTACTCTATATTCCACAAATTAGTGCAGTCATTCTATGTCTGACCTTCTCTTTCTGACTAATTTCACTTAGCATGATACTCTCCATATCCATCCACTTATATGTGAATTTCATGATTTCAACTCTTCTAATGGCTGCATAGTACACTGTGTAGATGTACCAGAGTGAAACATTTAATTTTTAGTCTTCCCATTCACCCAGCTTTTTTGACAGCCACGTACAAGCTGAAAGACAAAAACATCTTGAAACAATGAAAATGACTATCAAATAACATCTTATTTAAATTCTCTTGACTTCATGTAGATGACTACTGGAATTCTGGGAAATCTTGTCTCCACCAGGTCAGTCAGAAAAACAGAAACAATCAAATAGGCTGCATTAAGGTCAGCTGAAACCTAGCCTATATCACCCATTTTTAGGAACAAATGCCATAAATGTTAATTATTCCTACTGAAAAGAAGGGAGATACCTAGCAGTTCCTTTTTTTCCCCCTACTTTGATAGATTTATTGTTTCAACAAAAGATTCACCATTATTAGTTAGAGTTTACACCCCAAAATCAGACCCACTGAAAAGGCATTGTGAAAATAATTTGTTTTCTACAGCTGGTTACAAAAACCAAATGATGTCATGCGGCTGCAATAGCGGCCGCGCGATTTTGGATTTCTGATACTTTACTTATTAAGCCTGGAAGTATTTCTGCTGAGAGTCACATAATTTTAAGATTGGTTTCTGTGGCTCTAGAGCCATGGCCATGTCAGAGAGCCACTCATGGAGGGCAACTCATAACCTCGGTAGGGCATGAAGGACCCGGGAACACCCCCCTTCCCATGAGGTTTCAGTCGTCCCGTCAGGACCAGCTCATACTTGGCTTTTCAAAAGACTCTGAGGCGGCTGCCATCTTGCTTTCCAGAGGGGAAAAGGCGGAAGGGAGCACCACCCTTTCCCTTCCAGGCAGGCATGGTGGTGTGGATTAATGCATAATCCATTCACTTTTCTGCCGCAAACTGAAAACAGTGATTTTTAATTGCCCACATCTTATGAAATCTTGGAAAAAAAAATTTCTTTGTTATGGTATTCTGGTAGAATATTTAAGAGACTATTTTTCATCAAGATAAAAAACTTCTCCAGAATCTAGTATATAAAAGAGAGAGAATGATGAGAGGTAGGAGGTTATTTTTTTTTTTGCGGGGGTGAGGGGAGTAGACCTTTGTCTTCTGTTTTCAGAAGAAAATAAAATTTTTTATATTGTAATCAAGTTGCCGGCTCCTTCAATACTACATGCCCCTTTCAGGGCCAGAGTGACAGTACAGTGGGGGTACACGTGACCCACTAGGATTCAATTCCTGGTACCTCCTGTAGTTCCCTGAGTTTTGCCAGGAGTGAAATCCTTGAGTGCAGAACCAGAAGCAAGTCCTGAAAACTGCCAGGTGTGTCCCCAAAACAAAATAAAACAACAGTTAAAAAAATTATTACATCTCTTGACCTCAAAATCAGGATAATTTATATTTTTGATTAGCCTGAGGCTCAAACCCAGGGCCGCACACCTGCAAGGCCAGCAACGTAGGGCCAAGCATCCCCCCCACCCCGCCTCAATGGGATGTTTTCATCTGAATTAAGTATCTCCTTAGTATTAACTTTATGAAGGTCAACAATCAGACTCCTTCTTGTCTGACTACATTAACGCATCCCTGAAGCACTTCTGCACGTTAAAACGTGAAATGTTAATAAGTTAGCCATTTTATTGACCTCGCAGGCCAAGATTAGGATAAGTCAATCACTACACCTTTTGATCCAGTCACAGATTAAAAAAAAAAAAATCTGAAGAGACTACAAAGAGCGACTGACTAGGGAAGGGTTAGAAATGGGAGTAATCCCAGCAGACGCGGGTGTGCCAAGCTGAGAATGGCCTGGCGGGGGATGTGTTCCAGGGCTCCTGTGCTGCCTCTCTCTGGCTTTGATGGAGGACCAATGAACTAACTGGGTGGCAGCCCCGGGCCTCTTCCCCTGGCGTGTTC